GTACAGATAACACCTCGGAAACCCAAGGAAGGGTCGCTATGAGTCAGAATAGACTCAATGGCAGTGTTTTTTTTTTTTTTTTTTCCTGTTAAAGTGGTTATTATTTTAAACCACTACATTCTGTGAGGGTTTGTTACACAGCAATACACAGATATAAAGAGGTATATTAGACATAACAGCTGACATTCACCTATTGCTTTGGCCAAGAACCTGGTGCTGTTGAGATTCTTCACTTCAGTTCGAATGCCGAAAGGCTCCCCAGGGTGATGCACAGATATATTGGCGTCCACTCTCAACTGGCCCTCTGGAAGGAGAAAATCTCTTTGAGGAAAATTTCTTTAGAAGTTCTTTGAGGCAACATAGTCTTTTTAAGCAGGGAGACTGTGAAGGTAAGCAATATCTAACTCTACTTGCTGTTTAGTTACAGCAACCTAACTTTAGAGAAGGCACGGTTGGTTCTGAAGTACTTCTTGTCCACTTAAGTTATGGTACTTAGGCATATGGCGTGCCTGTCAGTACATGTGTGCACTTGTGCACATACCAAAGAGAGGAGAAATGTTAAATATATAAGCTGAGAGATCTAACTTCTTCTGTGGTAAATAAGAAAAAACACCACTGTTAAAATGGAGACTTACTCTGCAATTTTATTCTGAAGTTTTTTCAAAGTGTGGAGCTGGGTTGGGGGAAAGCCCTCAGAAATGATTATTTTATAGCCCTACACTGCTCTCCAATGAAATGTGGATTTCTAACAGTGATTCCAGGAGATTTCTAAGAGAGTCCTTGAGAATTTACAGCTCAAGGGCAAGAGCCAGAAACCTAGCCTTTGCCTCTCCTCCTTCCTCCAGGTACTGTAATAATCTCTTCCTTCCACAGACATTATTCTGAATCCTTCTGACTGCTGTAAGGATTTGCTGCAGCCGAAAGACAATGCTAATATGAAGTGGAGAGTCTGTGGGACTGGGTGGGGGGGGGGGCTGTGCACTTCCTGGGAGGACCTTCTCTGGCTCTAAAAGTCCCTTCAGATTAGGAACCTTTAACAAAGCAGGAGATGTGTGGAAAGAACTAAGAGACTACTGAGGAAGAGAAGGAGATAAAAACCCCAAGACAAAACAGATGGAGATAAGAAATGTTTTAACCACTACACCACCAGAGCTCCTTTTTCTCAGCATACCTTCTGATAGTCACATATACCATAGTATTTCTCATTAAAAATAAAAAAAAACCAAAAAATCTAAAAATCCACTCCTTTGAGCCCAATTCTTGCTCAATCTATCATTCTTCCTGCTTTCTTTTTCAGCAAATACTCTCATATTTTGCACCTTCCAAAAGCAAGCTCAGATTCTCTACTGTCCAATCTCACTGATAATATCTAAAACAGAGCCGAATGAGAAGACAAAATCCTAGCTTTTATTTTGCTGGTTAGGTTTTTTAATTTATAAAGCAATCTGCCAAACACGAGAGTTCTGATAAGCTGAATAAAGAAATTCATTTTCCAAGATCCCACTGCAAAAGCATACAAAACACAAAACAGTATAATTAATAAAATACACTCCATGCCAAGAAAAGGAGACCTACGTAACTGGTTTTCTGTCATTCCCCCAAAGCTGAGCTGTGGGGCTTGCTCCTCCACCAGGCTGGAGACAGCTGGCAGCTGCTGTTCACCCTTGTCTCCTCCACTCCTTCCCTTAGAACAAGGGGAGCGCTCACCCAGTCTGGGGCTCCATACTGACAGCCAGGGAAAAGGTGCCTCTCAGCTCAAAAATGACTCATACTTTATCTCTCGCACTGAGTTCTCAGTATTTTTACAGAATCATGTAACCCCTTATTTTTAATCACCTTTTGGACAATCTGTGCTTGTCTCAATCGCAAGAAGTTCTAGCTATTCTGACATTATCAGCAGAAGTCATCTTCAGTGTCTCCATTTTCTTTGTCCTTTATAACCAAACAAACAAACAAAAAAAACCCGACTGTCATTGAGTCGATTCCAACTCATAGCTACTCCCATTGGGTCTCCAAGATTATAAATCTTTAAGGAAGTAGATTGCCTCATTTTCCTCCTGTGGAGCAGCTGGAGGGTTGGAACTGCCAACCTTCTGGTTAGCAGCCAAATGCCTTACCCACCATGCTACCACCGGAGCTTCTTTTCATAACCAAAGAGATATTAAATCCTATCAATTCTTCCTTCCAAATCTCTCTCATATATGTCACTTCCTTTCCATTTCCACTACTACAACCCACGTCTGAGGTCTTGGAGCACCAGGCCTAGATTAAGAAATTGTATCCTGACTGGTAGCATAGTGCCTAAAGCACTTGACTGCTAACCACAAGGCTGGTGGTTCAAACCCACCAGCCACTCCTGGGAAGGAAGATGGGGCAATGTACTTCCGTAGTGATACTGCCTTGGAAACCCAAGGAGGGGTCGCTATGAGTCGGGTCTGACTGGACGGCAAATAACAACAACAACAACAGCAACAACAATCCTGACTGGTAAAACAGCAATCCCTTCTTGTCTAGACACTCATAATGTGGCTAATCCTTTCATCCTCCTACAATATGGTTTTATCATTCCAGTTGCTTACTCAAGATGATACTGCTCCCACTGGATCATCCTGTCTCCTCTGCTTGCTATCCAAGAGTCCTCATCTGGTCCCAGTTGGCACAATCTACATGTTTCCACTACTCATTCCATGAGACAGCTCGCTTCAATAAGGAGGGCTTTTTTCATACAATTCCCCTTCTAACCAATGGCTACTGCATATTCTCTTTCTTAGTGTTACTGATCTTCCTTCTCTTTAACCTCTGCTCATCCTCTAAGGTCTCAATTACATCTTGCTACCTCCTCCTCCAAGAAACCCTCATCAATAAGCTAGCTTCCCTAATAGTTTCTCTTACCTATTAGAATATGCACAATCTATTCCAGAAAATGATAAGAGTCTTTCTTGAGTTAATCTTATCTTGAAAACTAGAATGGAAAGCTCTTGAGATGTTAAATGCCCATCCCTCTTGCCTTCTCAAGGGCTTCACTCTTTCCATTATCTCCTCTTTCCCACATCAGCCACTAATCTTTCTTAACATTTTAAAAAAAACAAACCTACTGCCATCCAGGTAATTTTGACTCACAGCAATCCTATAGGACAGAGTAGAATTGCTCCATTGGGTTTCCTAGGATGTAAATCTTTACAGAAGCAGACTGCCTCATCTTTTTCCCATGGAGCAGCGGGTAGGTTCAAACCATGACCTTTTTGGTTAGCAGTCAAATGCTTTCACCACTATGCCACCAGAGCTCCTTTTTCTCAGCATAGCCTCTGGTATTTATGTGTACGATAGTATTTCTCATTAAAAAACTAAAAATCTAAAAATTAACTCCCTTGAGCCCAATTCTCACTCAATTCATCATTCAGCTACTATTTTCTGCTTTCCTTTTCAGCAAATATTCTCAAACAAGTTTTGTTTATTTGTTTCTTGCACATACTGTCTCCATCTTCTTATCTCCTATTTACTCTAACACCCACTTCAGTCTGGCTTCTGTCCTACCTCTCTGAAAATGTCCTCATCTAAGTTATCATCAGCCTCCCACTGTAAATCCAATAGACATGCTTTGTCATCATCTTACTTGCCATCTCAGCAGCACGTGACACACGAACTAATCCTTCCTTCTTGAAATATTTTTCTCTCAGCTTCTGTGACCTTTGCTTTCTTGATTTTCCTCCTACCTCCCTGGACACTCTACTTTCATCTCATTTGCTGGTACCTTCCTACCTGTCCAAACTCAGGACCCTCTTCTTTACTTACATCTGTAGAGGCACATGGCTTTAAATAACACCTATGTGGTGATATAAGTCCCTGGTTGGTGCAAATGGTTAACGTGCTAGGCTGCTAACTGAAAGGTTAGCAGTTCAAGTCCACAGCAGAAGAAAGAGTTGGGGATACAATTCTATAAAGATCAGTCACTGAAAATCCTATGGAGCATAGTTCCACTCTGATACACATGGGTTCATCATGAGTCAGAGTCAACTTGATGGCAACTGGTTTTTCATTTATGTGCAGGTAATTCCCAAACTTCTCTTTAGTTCAGACCTCCACTCTGAGCTCTGTAGTCACCTCCAATGTTTACTTGGAGGTCTCACAGGCATTTTAATTGCTAAAACTAAATTCTGAATTTCCCCTCCACAAAGCTATTCTTGTATCTTCTCTTCCCAATTTCAGTAAATAGCACCACCACTTAACTCCTCAAACTTCCTTGATGGCACCCTTGACCTCTTCCTATTCCTTACCTTCCATACCAGCCCATTAATATATCTTAGTATTCCTTTTTCTAAAAACCACCTTGAACCTACCCATCTTGATCTTTCATCTTCACTGCCAGCAGCCCTGTCCAACACAGCCTCCTCTTCCATCTGAATTATTGCAAAAGCCTCTTTCTTGAAAGGTCTCCTTGCTTCTACTCTTATCTTCTGAAATCTACCCCCCACAGAGTAGCCAGAATAGTTTTGTAAAACATTAATCAGACTACATCATTCCCCTACTTAAAAGCCTTTCAATGACTTCCCATTGCACTTGGAATGCAATCCAAGCTTTGTTCCATTATCTGTAATCTATCTCTGGCCTACCTTTCAGCCTTATCGCATGCCCCCATTGCCCCTACTCAATTAGAGTGATTTCTGCTACCTTCTCAAATACTCTAAGCTCTTTCTCATCTCAGGGCTTATGCTTCAGCCATTCCTGGGAACACTCATCCCCTAGTTCTATGCTGGCTGAAGCCCTGAATCATACTTCAGGTCTCAAATGTCATTTCTTTTGAGAAGCCTTAAAAAGCCACATTTTCACCATCCAATGTTACTGTATATCATAGATCCTATTTATTTCCTTGAAGCATTCATCACCGTAACTATTTTTGTTTTACTTGTTAATATATTTATTTTCCTCAGGAATATAAGTTCTATGTGGCAGGAACAAGGTCTTTTTCAGAACCTAGAACTGGATCTACCATATGGTAATTGTCTGATAAATGAATACCTTGTTGAATAAACAAATGCTAAAATTCTTACATTTTCCTGAGCAGTGAACCAGAATGGCCATCTCACAGTACGTTCCAGGTCTACATTTCTGCCAAATAGGACTAATCTACAGTTGGAATCATCTGAAGTCCCACTAAGCTCAAAGGAAATCTTCCAAAGTATGCTGAACTCTGCTCAACCAAAGCTCAGTACTTGGGAGACAAAAACTTTTTTTTGGACTTCAGGGAATCCTCACCTGCTTTTAAAAAACAAAACCATCTTTCAAGATTTAACATTCTAATTTGGA